GACCACAAGCAAATCATACTGTCTAGAAGAATCAGTCCTTTGTGTTTAACAATTCAATAAAAACTGGAAAGAAATATTTTAGGATTCTTTACATGAAAACCAAGGAAAACCCTTAGGATTACTGAAGTTCATAGTGCAGGAAACAGTCTAGTGCTCTATTTAAACAAGCTAATTGACTTAAACTTGATTTAGAATTGGTATTTCAACAGGTTGTAATTGCAGAGTAAGCAGCACTTCTCATTTCTGAAAAAGATTTTCAGCTTTTCCACGATGCGTACTAAGAATGGACAGATAATTTCAGAGATGAAGTATTTTTTAGTAGAATGTACCAGCATAACTTGTTTTTTGTATATGGTGGCAGGATGAGCCAACAACAGGGATGGATCCCAAAGCACGTCGTTTCTTGTGGAACTGTGCTCTAAGTGTAATAAAAGAGGGGAGATCAGTGGTGCTCACATCTCACAGGCAAGTAGCAGCCCAATTGTATCATACTCTGGCTTTTGCATCTACCAGGGCTGGATGCGAAACTTGGCTACTCTGCCTTTCACTGCTGCTTGCAGTAATAATAAAAATTACTTCTGCCTACAGCATGGAAGAATGTGAAGCCCTGTGCACTCGAATGGCAATAATGGTCAATGGGAGATTCAGGTGTCTGGGCAGTGTTCAGCATCTCAAGAACAGGTAGCTATTTTCATTTCACTTACACCGGAGTTCTCTGCGTTTTTAAGGAGACACACTCAGAGTTAATTCCTCGTGCAGCACAGCCATTGTTTCTCTGGCTATAGGAAACGCTGGATTTTAAGCTGCACTTCTGTTTCAAAGGCACTTAACTACTGTGCTGGCCCTCTTGTTTATAGGTTTGGAGATGGTTACACCATAGTGGTGAGAATTGCAGGGGCAAACCCAGACTTGAAGCCTGTTGAAGAGTTCTTTGGGCATGCCTTCCCTGGAAGTGTCTTGAAGGAAAAGCATCGGAACATGCTGCAGTACCAGCTTCCGTCTTCACCATCCTCCCTGGCCAGAATATTCAGTATTCTCTCCCAGAACAAAAAGAGACTCCACATAGAAGACTACTCCGTTTCTCAGACCACACTTGACCAAGTAAGTTTTTAGTAACCTGTCTGCCAAAAGTTTCTTTGTGCAGAGGTAGGAATAAATCCCCTGATTTACTAGACTTCTCTGGCCATTTCAGCAAAATAGAGTTCTGAATCCAGTAAATAAAATGCCCTGAATTAATGAAAATCCAGGGCAATGTATGACATGGCCTTTTTTCTTGTAGGTATTTGTAAATTTTGCTAAGGACCAAAGCGACGACGACCACACTAAGGACCTGTCATTGCACAAAAACCAGACTGTGGTAGACATTGCAATCCTTAATTCCTTCCTGCAAGATGAGAAGGTAAAAGAAAGTTGTGTGTGAGCCAATTTCAGCAAAGAAATGATGAGCAGAATGCAAACTTCCTGTTCCTGGGTAGGATACTCCCAAAGAAGCTAAAGGAAGAGAAACTGGACACTCTACTGATAACCATTCAATGCAATGCAATTCAATGCAATGAAAACAAAATTCCTTTACAGGGGCAGTGCCTCATGGAGTCGTCTTGTACTGTTCTCAAGTGAAAGACTTGAACTTAGCTCATTACAGTATAACTCTGAAGCTGTGGTAAGGCACCCACCAGATGCTGTGGGCTTCCAACTGTACCGTATCTTGTCCTGTACGGTATGTTTTCACTAGGGTTGCAAAAATTGTTCATTGAGGAGTCATGGCCAGTGGTTATTTATAGGTATTTTAGGCATGCATGTTGTAGTCTTTAAAAGAATCATGTCAGGAGTGGGAATTTCCTGGTGCTACATCCATTGCTGGCAATGAATGCACCAAGACAGTCAGTGGCAGAAAAAGTCACCACCCATGTTGTAGCCTTAGCTTGTGAAAACTGACCTGACCAGCTGCCTTTTCTAGACTGGTGTAGGTCAGCTGGTGAGAAATCTGGGGCCACAAAGCACTACCGTGCAGATGAGATGGCAAGAGATGGGCCATCGTATCCATACATCTCCATCAGTAAGTGGTGATGCCCAGAACTGTGAACCCTGCAAATGCACAGGATTGTCCCACCAGCATTACAACCAGTAACCTGCTCTGACTAAGTTTTTGTGTAGCTAAGTACTCTCCTGCTCCCTTGAGGTACTGCAGCAGCTGTATGAAGACCTAGGAGGAAGTGGGTGACAAGCAGACCTAGGGTTTGGACCACAGCAGCAAACTCAGTAGTTGTACAAGCTGCTAATGCCAAGAGCAAATTCTGAATCATGAGATGTCACTCAGATGTGTAATATCTGCTCTTTAACCCCTGCTTTGCACCAGAAAGGTACCCATCATCTGGAGTTACTGCTTAGAACAAGCATGTTGCCATTTCTGGTTTTGCCAGATAAAACTAGAAATAAGATGTAGATTTTTTTTTTTAAACAGTATTATTTATGACTTTGAATAGGTAGGTAGCATAATTAGGGATTGAAAGTGCTTTAAGTTGATCTTCGTAGCCACAGTATTTCTTTACATTATGCCTGCAATGCTATGCTCTCATTCTATCCATTCAGTGATAGCTACATTCATGATCTGACCAAGTTCCAGACTCAAGCAATCAGCCACTATCTGCAACTACTGCAAGTTGAGCACCTAGAATTTTCCCATTTGGAAACTCGTGTAACATTAGATTAACATGTAAGTTTCTGCTTCTGTTGTGCAGTGTCGTTTTGGTCATTAGGTGATCCCTAACTGGAAAATACACCCTTATTACACATGTGACAAACTGCTTCAATAAAAATCCCCTTCAAGAACAAGGCAGTTCAAAATAGTAATGCTACGGTTACATCAGTCAATAGTTCTTAAAATTTTACAAATCCAGAATAATATTAGAGGGGATATTGCATGTTAACCAATTCTTGTTCACATTGTACAACAGTCATGGGAGAGTATGCTTTCATTAATACACTTTCAGGCCCCTTTTTCTTGTTTTTACATTCAGAAACAGGTTCAGTAATGTGGTTTAAACCCAAGTGCAGTTCCTGGGCTATTTCTGTATGTCATGGCTCCGCCTTAAGTAACCCCTAACAGGTTCTGCACTAGTTCTTGATGCTAATTCATCATGAATCAGTCATGGACCATTTTCTTCTGTGAATGCCCATAGCAGCCCCACAAACACCAAGTGGCTGGCATGAGCCTGAAGAACGCTGAGAACATATTTCCAGGTATACTTGGTAACACTGACCAATTCAGCATTTTTAATACACATACATTTAAATATTTAGCACAAGTTCCCAGTCCCTGCTGTGTCCTGCCTTGGAATAAAGTAAGAGCTTACTACATGCTCTGCTGAAGTGCCTTTTTCATACTGTTTTTTTTGTTTTGTTTTGTTTTAATCTGTGTAATACATTGGTAAGGGGATTGAGAACGGAGTGTAATGGGGATTGGTATACCTCACTTAAAACATGCTTTGTTATTACCTTTATGGCATCGTCACTCTATGGGGATGAGTTACAGGGTGATAGATACACCAGACTTCCAGGTGCAGAAAAATTACTAACAGCTGAGCTACAGCCATGACTTCTCTATAACAGGCTGCAGGTATGTTACGGTATCATTGAAACAAATAGCATGAACTGAAGGCTTACCACTGCTAAAAAAAATCACTATTACAAATCAGCATTAAGTCACCGGAGTGAAGGGCTCAAGTTTTGCACTGCACCAAACTAGTGCATGTAGAACTAGAACAAGTTCTAGGAGGATTCAGATTTGTTCCTGAAAGGGCTGTGGTTTGCTCTTTATAACTGCTCATATAAATTACCAATTTAGCAAGAAACAAAAGTCACATAATCATCATCTTCTTTAGCTCATGAAAAAGTGATTCTTGATTCCTATTCCCCTGTGACTGCCATGCTCATACAGAGTCTGTTGTGACAAAATGTTACAGCAAACATAGATGTTAACTGAACAATTTCACAGCTCTGATCTGTTGTTTGTACTGAACAGGCAGCGTAATGTAACTCTCACATGAAGATTTGTTCTAAGTTTAGCCAGCCACTCATTTGCTCTTTTAAGTGTGTATTGGGGGAAAAAAAAAGCACTCTGGTGTCACATACAGTATATGAACCACTCTTGATAATGAAACTGCACTGAGGTGTTAACTTATTTTAAACTTTATTACTATTGACATGTCGCATCCCTCTTTGTAGTACGTTTGTATTTGAGTAAGGAGTTGTTGTATTTTCCCCATGGTTAAATCACCACTTTGTGCTTATCCTTCCCTCCTGAATTAATAGTTGGTCCTTCATTCCAAGCACTTTATGCTATCTGTAATGGGATCTATTTTTGCACTGGAATATCTGTTAACTTTGCAAAAATCTGGAGAGATTTCACAACTTAAATTTCTAAGTTAAATCCTTAAATGGACATTTTCATTAAAAGCAAAAAAAAAGTATATATATTTGTATTTGCTAATAACTGTTATGTGAAGTATTAAAAGGCACTCTAATTGCCTTGTATTAAGTAAAAAATAAAGCTGTTACGGCACCATTAGTTTGCAAAGTGTAATTTTATTTTCTTCTGTGCTGCTGTCAGCAGCTCTTGTTTTGCTTGGTTTTATTTTATTGTGAACTTTGATGCATGACATACAAGTAATTTCCAGTCTCTCTACAAATTAGCATGGGGCATGTGCTATTTTCAGGCAAGTGAGGTGACACAAGATTTGAAAGGCAAGTGCTGCTTTAGGCTTCTGAAGTTAGTAAATAAAAAGGTCTCCAGCAAGTCTTGAAAAAAGTGATTGGTGAACTGTGAAATCCAGCTGCAGAGCATAAAAAAATGTCCCTGGGTGTTTAAATGCCAAGTCAGCTACCAGCCTCTATTTCCATTAGAGATGCAGCAGGTTGCAACTATTAATAATTGTTCCTCTTTGCTAAAAGTACCCTATACTTGTTTTCACTGACAAAGGAAAATGTTAAGTAAACATAACTAATCCTTGTTAATAACAAATTAAAGGAAGACCACTGACGTTAACACCAGATGGATTTTGAAGAGCATTTACAATTAAAGCAGACTAATGGTCTGTTTGCTCAAGGAAAAACTGAGTTTAAAATTTTGCTTTCTACTGCCTGCGGTCCCACTGTCAACCAATTAAGTTCCAGAATCCAACGACTTTGTGAAGATACATTCATCAGGAAAATTCATCTTGAGATAAGAAGCCAATTCAAATTTCCTGGACTTTCTGTTTTAATCATTCTGAATCATCTTGGTAGTGATGATTTATCAGCCATTTATTCCTTAAAAAATGATTTGTAAAATACGTGACAGTGGTCTCTCCAGTAGTGCTTGTTCCACCCTGAGAATGCTAAATAGGGCTCTGTTGTGGGGGGGTGAAAGTATGAAGATGGTTATAGGAGCTGAGACCTGTTTTATACTCACCCTGACTGCAGTAGATGGATCCCATCTGTGTACTTTGGACTTAAGCATAATGGCCTACAGCTGTTTTTTAGTGCTTTCCATAAGATCTTAATGCACTTTACAGAAGCAGTTCATCATTGTGCAGTCTGCCTAAAGATACTTCAGTAGAGATGTGAAATCAATTACTCAGGTCAGTGATTAACCTGTGCAAAAGTCTCCGCAAGTGCTCTGCCAGTTAGTGACCTTTAAATTGCAGAAGAGGGTGCTCCATAACCCTGAACACAAAACACAAGTTTGACTTGTCAGTCCCTTTGCCCTCTACTGTGCTGCTATTCACTCTAGATTACTGGCTCTGCAGCAACTTTTACCAAGACTGTTGGCAAAAACAAGACCTGCT